GGCTGGATGCCTGTGCGGAGGCAGTCCCTGCCCCAGCAGTTCCTGCCCTGTTTTGCCCCTGGCAGCAGGTGCCAGACCTGTCCCAGTGCAGCCAGTCTGACCCAGACAGGACATGGGAGCTGTGCCCAAATCGCTCATCAGGGGCATGGGGCTGAACAGCAAAGGTTAAGTCACCACTAGAGTAGTGACCAGCCAAAAGTAAAAAGTGTTTAAGTAAACAAAACCCCTATTTCTAATCTCCAGTGCCATTGTAACTATCAGTAGTTAAAGCTTCATTCAGTGCAGTGTTGGTCTTTCTCTGTTGCTTGGCTTTCTTTTCAAAATTTGTGTGCTGGAGCTGCATATTCTGAGGCCTGATGCCTTGTTCCATCAAACCCTGCCTAGAGCAGTAGTTTTCAGGCTGTGTTTTCAGTGTGCAGAATCCCAGATCTCTTGAAAATGAATCTGTGTTGCTATGTAACCAAATTGCTGTCAGTAACAGTAGCTTCCTTTCAGTAACTTGTGGCTCCATAGTGCTTACACCAGGGCCATGTATAGTGGACCACATCTCCCTAGGAATAGCATAAGTGACTTGATGTCCTGCATATGAGTATGCCATCTCCCTGTTTTGCTGCCAGCTGCTGTCAGTGTTACTGGAAACTAATTTAATGAACTGATTTTAAAAGTGATTTGTACATAATGCCTTTCTCTTTTTTCCTTTCCCAAAGCAACTTGTAACTGTGCTGGTTGGAGAGTCTCAGGGCAGGGATTTGACAGTTTGGATTATACATTTAATTCCTTGAGTACTTTTTCTCTAAGAGCAGCAGCTGCCTGTCATTGTTTTTCATTTATTGACTCCTGAATGTCACACACACAAACTAGTCTGCAAGATAAGGATCTCTACAAAGCTTTTCTTCTGCAGAAGGATTACTTGGCTTCCTCTTACCTGGTTGAATCTTAAAAAAGGGAAGAGACTAGTATTTTTGATCCACACCAGATCTTTTTGTTCCCTAATGCTAGCTCTGAGAGAGAAGGAATCCAAGGAAGCAGTGTTCAGAAGTAAATTGAAGTGACTGTTACAGACAAAGGATTTGTTAAAAGCCAGTCAAGCTGCTGGCCCAGTCAGAGGCTGTTGCTGCCTGGCTCAGAGGGTGCCACTCGAGTCCTCCATAGCTACCGCTGCAGCGCATGGACATTGGAGCAGGAAGCTTTCCTCTCTGCTGATGTTCAGCTTATGCCCCGCAGCATGTGCTTTGACTCTAGTAGCATTTACACATAGATTGGACCACTAATAACAAATAGAGTTGTGTGTTGTAGTTGTTAATACAAAGCCTCTGTTTCTAATCAGTGCATGGTATTATAGTGCATGCTGTGTGTGTTGTCCCCCCAGCTCTTTTATTTACAGTGTACAGCCTCAGGTTTGTTTGCATCTCCACACTGTCTTGATTTAAGAGAAAACAATAATCTCCAAATGTTTCTAGTTGCTGATAGCCCCACTCCTCCCCCGCCGCCGCCTCCCGATGAGATGCCGATGTTTGATGACTCTCCTCCTCCTCCACCCCCACCACCTGTGGATTATGAGGATGAGGAGGCTGCTGTTGTGCAGTACAGCGATCCCTATGCAGATGGAGATCCTGCTTGGGCACCTAAAAACTACATAGAGAAAGGTAAGAGAAGCACTGCAGCTGTGTTAGTGCAGTATCAGGGCATTAATGGTGTCCAGAGGGAATGAAGGACTTTGACTGTTTTCATCAGACCCACACTTTGTCCCTCCTAAGTCAGAACTCAAGCCGTGCTTTCCTTAGTTTGTGTCTACACCTAATGTGGTAAGACATAATCCTTCTTTGGACAAATTATAACATACCTTCAGGCATTCTAGAATGGGTGAAAAAGCAAGTTTCTTCACAGGAAGCAGGTGTAAATTGGATGGCTTTCATCTTTGATAAGCTGGACTGTACCTACCTCAGGATTGCCTGGCAATCATCTACAGACTGCTGCAAAATGGACAGAAATTCCAAGCTGTATTTATCTCATCACACTAGATTACTAGAGTGGATTATTAAACTTTGAACTAGAAAATGTGTTGAGGTCTCCTTGGAGATTTATCAGTGACTCCAGATCAGCAGACTGTGAACTGTGCTTAGGTATGAAGTCACGTAGTAAACATCTCTTCCCATAAATAATGGACAAGCAGATTTCCTGCCAGCGGAGTTGTCTGTGTTGTAGCACTGACCATTTTGTCAGCAGCAGTGCTGCCAGTTTTCTCATGAGCTGGCTGGTGCTGCAGTGAGTACAAAATGGGGCCAGGTTCTTGTGGTATTTGTGGCAGAGCTCCTGTGTTCCCTCTTCACTTGAGCTGGACTGTGTGCAAGATATACCCATGGGATAAAAATAACTGATACAGCACAGCATTGCTAGGCATTAAGACAGCAGATAGTTGGGAATATATGTAGGTGTAAAATAGTGGATTCTTGGAATTCATAAAGCTGATCAATTGCATAAATCCATATTAACTTGGGAAGGGTAAGGCTGGGATGTCTGAAGTCTGTATATTCACAGTGGTAGTTTTTAACTCCAGCATTGGTGGTGGCAACATTCTTTCCTTGGGGAAATCTCTGCTTTGTTAATGGCACACAGCAAGTTGGAGGTTGGTAAGAGTAAGGTAGTACCAAGCTGGTACTGAAAATAGCAGATGTTGCTTCTACACTCTTTAGCAACTTTCCTACTTGCCCTCAGTGAAGCTCCTTGAAAAGTAGTGCCAGAATTCCTGAGGACACAAAAGCTCTGTAGGAATGCCCATTCATCTGTGTGCAATGGCTTTAGCAGTGAGGTGTGCAGGGCCACACTGATGTGCCAACAGGGGCCTCAGTGGAATGATTTTTGTACAATATTTTTGTTCTAATCAAGAGATTCATACTAAGAGATCCACATGCTATTGAGGTAATCTGGTCAGAAATGGGTACCACACAAGTCAGGTGTTCCCTAACTCAGCTTTTAAGTGTCCATAAGGCCCACTTTACTGTGTCACAGTTGGATGTACTTCTCTGCCAGCAGTTTAACTGAGTGTCTAGTTAGTCAACACACACTTCTTAGTGCTAGCTAATGTTGCAAGGAAAGTGAAATTCTAATTTCTGGGCTTAGTGTTCAACAGGAAAAGCACACGAATTCATTACTGAAAATCCCATGACAGCAAACTAATCTTTTAATATTTTCTGAAGTACAATTGTTTTTTAATACTGTTGCTATTAATAAAATGCTAAATGTGTCCCTGTTTATTCCACAGTTGTTGCTATATATGACTATACAAAGGACAAAGACGATGAGCTGTCGTTTATGGAGGGTGCAATCATTTATGTGATAAAGAAGAACGATGACGGCTGGTATGAAGGAGTTTGCAATCGAGTAACTGGCTTGTTTCCTGGGAATTATGTTGAATCAATCATGCACTATGCCGATTAAAATCCTTTGCTTTTCAAAGTTTGGTCTTGTATTCAAGTCATACCATGATTATTTACAAGGGGTAACTAAAAGCTAACAGAATTGTCTTAATATACTTTCAAAAAATTGTGCCCATTTCTTCAGGCCATACTGTTTTAATGGTATGATTGAATGTCCATCTCTGAGTCTCTGGGGACAGTATGTCTTACCTGATGGCAATTTGTAAAACAAGCAACTGTCTATAACTGGTTATACTTATTTACTTATGCATTGTTAATTTTATGACCAGCCTAATTATTATGGGGAAGTAGGGTATAATATTTAATGAACCATGATCAGATTGTGCCATTACATTTTTCAGTACAGCATGGTAACTAACACTACGTTAGACTAACATATTAAAACCTGGATGAGAAGTTTAATGTTAGTGCTGGTCATATTACTTTTTGTTTAGACTCTTTGCTCATTCTTGAATTATATTTGTTTAAAGCATGCATACAAACTTATGTATTGAAATATACTTTTTTAAAAATCCAAGATGCTTCCAATTGTTGTAATCTTTACCTGGAGTATTCTCACTAAAGTCTATTACAATGAGTTGTTTGGGTCTAAGGTGTCCATGTGATTCAAAAAATGGGTGGTCTTATGTATGTGTAATTTGTACCCAAGTTTTTTTAATGAGTAAATTTACATTATGACTTTTTCCATTCATAAATATATAAGTGAACCAAAGGTCTCGTCCATTACTTTGTTGGTTGGCTGGCAAAGAAGTTTGGAATGCTAACGTAGCAAAATCATGGCTGTGTTATCCCAGGCAATGTACTAAAAAGCAAATGTTTGTAACATGACTTTATCACTGACAGAGGGAAAATAAATTAGATCTGAAACCTGAATTACACACTTATACATACTCTTAAAAGTTCTTTTCTGCCAACACTTAGTTCCAGTGAGGGTTCTTGATTGAATCCAGTTACCTGGATGCAGTGAGTTGGACACCATCTGTAGCTGACAGTTGTGTGTGGGAACTCTCTCTGTGTGGCTCTGGGACAGGAGCAGGCTGTCCTCCAGATAGCACCCAGGGGAACTCAGGGACAGGAACTTGGCCATTGTTAAGGGATCACAGGCAGAGATAGCCAGAGAGGGTGTGCTTTCCTGCTCTACACATTCTGTGGCTGAAATAACCTGAGAAGGAATGTGGTAGTACTGGGTAATTACTGTGAGAGGAATGTGTCTGGGACTTCAAAGGCAGCTTCTAGGGTGCTACACAATATATTCTATAAATGAGTGATGAAAGTGATGGAGTTGCAAGTTTGACTGGCTGGTGAATCATTCATTTTTAGTTTGAGTTAGAAATACCAAGCCTTTCATTTTCTGAACAAAAACATTCATTTGGTAACAATCTCAAATTCTGCATCATGTTGACTGCTAGCAAGTAGCCACCAAGAGCATGAATTGAACTCACTGATGAATAACCAATTAAAATCCGCTTGTAGTCTTTTAACCAGTATCTCTAGCTATATACAGTGCCAGGTGCTTCTGTTAAGTAGCCAGGGAAACATCCAAACCCTCTCTCTTCAGAGGAGTTTACCAGCTCCTGTACATGCATGCTCTCTTTATTAGTGTAAACAAGTGAAATTTGGAACAGCTTCAGTTCTCATACACTGATTTATATTTATTTTCATTGTGGCCTTTGTGCATCAACATGTAAACATCTTCCCCATCACCCACAATCAATAGCCCCCACTAAAACAATTGTACAGCACTGTTTGATTTGCTCTGAATCGCATGGCTTCCTTCAGTAAAACACTTTAAACTTTAGTTAAAAAAAAAGAAAGTAAAGTAAAACTTTAAAAAAAAAAGGAGGTTTTTTTTTAAAAAAATAATTTTTGGTGGCTTGTGTTGGAAGCAAAAACTTTTGAAATAAATGTAGGCACAGTCTGGTAAAGTAGCTGCCAGAAGGAGTGGAAGGAGCTCTCTCACTTGTCCCGCATGAGAACCATTTCTGTCAGGTGCACCAGGGCCTCTCTCTCGGGGGACGGCCGCAGCTTGCGGATCTCGCGCGTGGCCGCGTGGCAGTAGCGCTGGGCGAGGTAGGTGGTTTGCTGCACACCATCACTCTGGGGGAAGAGACAGAAACAGGGACCTGATCAGCCTCCTGCTGCCTTCTGCCTCGTCCAGGCACAGGGGGAGGTTCTAAGGTCAGTAAGTACCCTCATACATTATATTCTGATGGGAAAGAGGATTCGTTCTGTAATCGGGGAAGCCCACCTACCTGCCCCAAACTGTCCAAGTACTGAAACTCATCCATGCCAAAATAGCAACTCAGCCATTACAAAACAGCACTGGTATTAATAACAAAGTAGAAACTAATGGTTTATCCCTTCCCCTCCTGCCCTAAATAGAGGTGTACAAAACCCCCATGCTATTCTGAGAAATAGGTAATAATGGTGCACAGACCATTTCTCAGTCTTTTTAGACCAGAGTAATTTAAAACTGGTATAGGGTGTGCACTGCAGTTACAAGACTGACTGGAAATTACATGCCATTTATACCAGCTGTTGAATACAGTTATGCCTCAGCTGAAGAACTGAGTTCATGTGTGAACTTTTTACTTACGCAGATTTTATGCTGTTGGAGGGAAAAAAAGAAAAAAAGTTCTTCAGTACCTAGCATTTCTGCTAAAATACTGTGCCAGAGGGAGACCTGAGTTGTTCTTACTTGGCATTGTACATTGCATGCTACACAGTAGGTATTTTCCAATGCAGCCTTGCTATTTTACTTCAGAGGCAATGAATTTCAGACTGAGCAGCAGGGAGAGCAGAAATATTTGATGTCAGTCTTACCTGCAACACGTATTTCCATGCACGTTCAACATCTCCTGGCTTACTGAATCTCCTCATTATCATAGCATTCATTTCTGGAAACTAAGCACAAAGGGAGAAGGTTTGTACTTGCTTTTGAGTTGTTTTCCATGTAGCTGCCTGCCATGCTAAGGTCAGAACACCACCAAAGTGCAGCCCTCTTCCCTGTTGCTGCTGCTACAGGTACAGCTTTAGGTTTGTACTTGCAGTCTGCACAGGAATATAGCAGAGCCCAAACATTTATAACTGAAACCTGGCTCTGGCTCTGCTGGCTGTAGCCAATTGGAAGCAGAAGTCAGCACCTGCCATTTTATCATCTTAAGCAGATGTTCCAGTGTGGTAACTTCTAATGTGGCTACTGCCTGGTGAATAATCTGCATCAGATACTCTATCACAGATGATGATCAGTGTTGGCACTCCTGGAAGAAGCACCTCTGCCCCCACACATACAAAAGAACCTAGGATGTTGGTTGTTGCAATATTGTATAGTTCAACTTGTAAAATCCCCTCATGCAAACACTGGCTGTTACATTCTCTTACATTTTCCATTGTGCTGGTATATTATATACACAGATTTTTTTTTTTTTTTTAGTAAGATAAAAATGACAACTATAAGGTATTTTGTTTTCAGCCACATAGTATTTGTAGTTAGCACTGCACGCTCAATTCCCTACAAATCAAGCAGGTAACTCAAGTCAGTTGTTTTGAGAAAAATCACATCACTTAGGTAAATATGCAGCCTCTTTCTTAAGACAGCCTAGAAACAGAAAAACCTAGTGCTTAACAAAATAAAGCTACAACTCAAGGCAGCTACTCCACAGAAGAATTCTTTTTAAGGGAAAGAAAGAGCTGTTTGTTCATGTTGCCTGAAAGGATTAGAGTCAAACAAAGATGATGTTATTGCCATATACTTGTAAATAATGATCTGCCTTCCTTGCACACCTTTGGGCCTGCAACTGCAGCTTTACAGCCTTGTTCAGGTACAAACATGTAGCACCCTTCAGTGCTGTGACAGTCTCCTATTACTCATACACAGTCTTGGAGATGCATTCAGAAGTTCAGTGATGACTCACACTTCAGCTAAAAGAGGAAAGTCATGGCTTTTTCTAGATCCTAGCTTCCTTGCCAGGTAATGACAATTTAATTGCAGTGTTCATGCAATCAGTTTTCACATTATTCATATTTACAGTTATATAGGATGCATATGGGATCACTTTTTATATTTAAGCATTAAAGGACATGAAAATCCCCAAACTTGTAAGGCAGAGCTGTTATTAGCAATTCTGCCTATTTAGTGGGCAGCACATCAGCATTTAACAGGAATGCTTATAATAAAAATAAACCTTCCTTCTTCAGCTGTACTCGTTTAAGAGGAGCTTTAGAATTAGCATACACTAGTGTATTTCCTTAAAAAATAAATGGGGAGTTGTTTTTTTACTGAGTGAGCTAACTTTAAATACTGAATAAATAGGTACTATATCAAGGTAAACATTTTTTTCTCCTTAATATTCTAATGCACAAAGATGTATTTCAGAGGGAGGGGAGAGGAGAGGAAGAAAAGGCATCTGCCACTGAAGATCCAGAGCACATTAAAAACTAACAAATGTTTGTCAGGAAGACAACTGGAAGAGTACCAGCTACATGAAAGGATAGCAGCAATACTAATCTGAAAAGACAGCCTATAATTAATAATTACACTTTGGACTGTCTTCAAGTCCTGGCTCATGAGTTTTTTTCTCAGACACAAATATATGAAATATCTTTTAGTAGCATCATGAGTGTTGGTTGAAGCTCCACATTTTTTAGCACTCATGCTTTGTTTATATATCAGTTAAGTCTGCAGTGCTGTTGTTCCAGTTTCTTGAAAACAGCAGGACATTTGCAGCAAAGAAGCCTTCTGGTTAATGCAGGAAACTTTATAAGACGGTCAAGTTACATTTCAATGCAAAAATGTACACTTCCCATCTATCAAAGATATAAATGAGAAAAAAGTGGCCTACAAAGAACAAGATTTTACAATAGGAGTGACAGATTTTATTTTCTTTTATTTCTATGTTATGAACTAATTTATCTTGTAAAGCTAATTAAAAGATAGATGAAGTTCAAAGTCAGAGACAGACAACCCAAACAAATGAATAAGAAATAGTTTTAATTTAAAAATTGGAATATTCAACACCCACAAGACAATCAATGTCACCCATTCTCTGCCAAAACTGGGTATTTGCAACATGCCTCGTTTCCTTCTGCACATGGCTTTAGCACACACAAAAACAGTTTTACAACTCCATCCTCCCTCTCTGCCTGAGTGTCTCACTGTTCTTTGGACAGCTCCAATTGCTGATGACACAGTTCTGAAATAATGATTCAAGAATATGCTTGTGAAGCCCCCAGATGAGTATGGGGAGACACTGAGGACACAGAGAAGGTTGTTCTCAATATGCATTCATCTGCTTTGTCAGTTGGCTGATACTCTGTGCTCCTGTCTGTTCTGAGATACAGATCCTTGGAAATGCCCAAAGGATAAGGAAGCAAACAGATGTGAATGCTCCACCTCCCCCCACAACAGGCTCTTTTAGAGGGGGAAGTAAATGTCAAAGTTGTTGGGTTTTTTTAAATGATGTAGAACTTTTCCCATGTCAAGCTCTAAGCAATTCCACTGAGAGATCATAGATGAGAGCTCTGCTGGATCTAACTGTGCCAGCTTTTATATCACACTGTGGAGCCTGGTAGGAAGGACTGCTTTTTAAGTCCCAAATCTGCTTGCCTCTGGGGAACAAGACACTAGAGCAAGGAATTAAACCAGTTTCTTTCCTGTTTATGGATTAGCACAAATTTTAATGTTTTTCATGCTGCTCACAGTTCCATTTTCATTTTGCTCCTCCAAATAATTTCCAAGGCACTGAAAATCTTGACCAATTTTAAGCCTGTTTTATTTATGACAGTCCCTTTTCTCTTACCCAACCTGCAGACAGGAAACCTACTCATGTTTGTAAATGGATAATACTTGAGGACAAAGAGATGAAAAGATCAAATCCAATAAATAAAGGTACCCACCTAAAGGCAAGGCAGGGATTTCAATTCTTGGCCCCAGATGGATACAAAGCCCAGAACAAGGCAAAAAAGCCTACATACACAGTCAAGCCCGGGAAGAGAATGTCTCAGGAGAAAACACAAGCAAGAAGCTACTCAGGAATAACCTACACAAAATGTCCTAAAACTCTCAATACCTAGAAGTGCCTAACAGTAAGTAGAGTTGTGCAGGAAGGTGTTTCCCAGAACTTATATGTGCACAGGATCCATCTGATACTGAACCTACTGATTTGCCACATGTGCCCAGGCCCCTCTCATCACTGACACTGGAGATCTGATGTGTTTCAGCTGGTCCTGTGAGGAGCAGTTTACACTTCTCATTTTGAGCAAACAGCTTCCTGCTGACTTACCTGTCGACAAGCAAATAAGACAGGGCCTGTGGCTAATCCAAGCTTGAGATCTGCTGCTGTTGGTTTCCCCAGATGGTCAGCACATGATGTAAAATCCAGCACATCATCTATCAACTAAAAAAATAAACATACAGATTATTTAAAATTTCTTTTTTAAGTATTAGAGCTAAATACAGACTAATCCTTGTTAAAGACAAGATTTGTAGGAAGGATTAAGACAGCCCACTTTGATTTCTAAAACACTTTGGAGAAGTTTAGATTTTAGATTCCATTTAGTTCAACAAAAACACTACCTGAAAAGCTATGCCAACGTTTTTTCCATACTGGTATGCAATCTCATGAACTTTGGGGTCAGGGCAGCCTAGAATTGAAACCTGAAAAGACAAAAACCCCAAGTAAATAGAAAGCTTTAGTTAACTAAAAGTTAGCACTTTTAGCCCTTGACCATAGGTGTGACACAGCCAGCACAGGCTGGAGGGATCTGGGAAAGGCAAAAAAAGCTGACTTGAGCACATTCTGGCATATCTCAGTTCATGGAGACACAAAACTGGCCAAGCTTACTAGAAAACAAGGCTGAACAGCAGTGCAGTATTAAAACTACATTCACATCTGCAAAGAGATTAGCTTCATTAAATATTTATCAGGCTCAGAAATTACAATGCAAGGATAAAGAGAGAAGAAATGTGGATGCACTTTACATGCAGGGAGGGTAGTAGTTGTATCCAGTCCAGTGATGGGGAAATTAAACTAATTACATACATAAATCAGCCAGGGGATAATTGGAGGTCAGATAGCAGATAAATGGACATTACATGTCTCATAAAAGATTACAAAGCTGGATGTGTTGGACCTGGTACAGCAGGGGCAGTTGACATAAGGATGATTATTTTTAAGGTGATGTTAACTGTATCTGACTTGCTCAGGAAGATGACTTGATTAGCCTGCAGGCAAAGCTACTGAGGGATAATTAGTGGCAAAGAAAAGACAGCAAATGAAGAAAGCACACCAAGCTCACAAAGGTATCACTGAACTGAGATAAAACATTTTACGTGAATGTACAATCAACTACTTGAAAGACAGAAATTTTGCTGAATAAACTCCACAAAACTAAAATATAGGACGTTAACTAAGGTTTGAGAATTAATATCTTGCCTGGAAGTAAGGGCATTTATGCTATTTGCATTTATGTACTGATTATACATTTTGCAAAACGAGGTTGGTTAAATACTCAGATTGATTTCAACTTTCAATAAACCAATTAGAACAGGGGACAAAAATCCACCCTGGTTTATTGCAGGCATTCCAATTCTGCTGTGACCAATGCAAGGAGTGAAGATACATTTTACTTTAGACTAAAAATGTATGCTAGGAAAACACAATATAAAAAAATAAGTATGTGTGTGTGTATGTATGTGTATGCATTCCTCTTTAAGACTGTGTAAGGTAGGTTCATAAAAAACCCCTCCAACCCCAAAACCAACCCCAAACAAATCCAGCAGTAGCTCTGGAGGTGAACATGAAGATGGAAATAAGAAACATTATATCCTAATAAATGTGATGCAACTTGCACAAAATGAGAGATGATTTCATGCAGCAGTGCACTTCATATCTGAGCATCAGAACACTTCCCAGTCATAACCTGCATCTGTTGATAATAACTAAACCCCAGAGGAATCTGGATGACTGAGAAATTAACAGCATCATACATTCTCCACTTTTACTTAAAAGAGGACAGTATAGCAGGAAAATAATGCTACTTATCTCTAATAATCATACAAAATCCTGAAGGCTATTAAACAGAGAGAACTGCAAATATGAGATATTTAAATAGATGTTGCTAGGGACTATCAAAGTAGAACATTTTGCCTTTTTATCCTCCTTTTGATGTTTGTCTCTTAAATAGCAGTATTTGCCTGAAGACCTAACATCTACTGCTGTACCACACAAGCTTTTGGTTGCTTCTGTAATATAAATCACATAATGCCAGCATGGCAGGGGGACTGCATCCACCCTGTTCCAATGAAATCCTCACCTACCTCCACATTTCCTTCCATGTGGAGGATTAAAATACAGAATTCAGTGACAAAATCCTGCTTAATGGCAAAGGGTCGGAGTGGGCAGTAGCTGGCAGAGGGTGGGAGGAAGTGCTGTGTAAAGAAAAGAGCTTCCTCCATTTAACCTGAAAGGTCAATTCTTGTTCATAGACAAAAAAAAGGACAAAAAAATAATATAAAAATTCGGGACATTTTTTCTGCCAGTCATCCTCAAGTGAACAACCCTCTGACCATGACCACATAATAAACCTGCAGTTGGGTTGTGTCTATCAGGGAGTTCCTTCAGGATGCAATTGCTCAGACTGCTCTTGTGGATTGTTGCCCCCAGCTGGACACTGGCCGGGCTGCAGCCAGGCTGCCTGTCACTCCCACACAGAGTTTAACTGGAGCTGTACTGGGGTAATGCTCGGGGATAATACCCACATTTGCAAATACAAATCAGGATTACCAACTCAATACAGTGATGTGTGTTTAAATGATAAAACTCCCCCTTTGAAAACAGCCTAGAGCTCCCCAGATAGGTAGGACTGGCTCATGACAAATTTAATCTTAGAAGACTTCAAGCCTGTCCTCCACTAAATCATGATGAAAAATCCTTCCTAATACCAAGTAAAACAAATTCTTTAGAAATGTTCTTTGAATTCAGCAAAGCAGGACAATCTCCTTGGTGTTATTTCAAACACACTTTTTGCAAAAACAAGAAGCTGTTTCTGTTATGTTATATGAGAGACTATAAACCAATTTTGCCTCTTTACTGAATTTCACATCCATAAAATACATTCTCAGCTCTGGGTAGATATATCTTGCTCTGATATTTAATATGTGACAATATGGCAGCTGGAGTTGAAAGCATTTGCACATCTCTACCAGTGCTCTTTAGGTCAGAGAGGAAAACCTACTGCTGGGCCAGAATTTGCTTGAATAAACACTACAAGAGATGTTTGTTCTTGTAGTCCTAGATTTGTGGACTCTGTGGAAAGGAAAAGGCTCTAAAATGTTCCCCTTTTCCAGCTATTCTTCTCCATGCCCATCTCCAGAAGCAGTCAGGTTCCTGCCTTCTCATTCCTGGCTCATCCACCCCTGTTTTTCTAGACAGGAGCAGTGTTCCTCTTTCCAGGAGAACCACAGAATAGCTTAGGGTGGAAGGAAACTCTGAAAGTCATCTGCTGAAAGGAGAGTCTACTTCACAGTCAGAGGTCTTATTTTCCTGGGCACCAGTTCCACATGCTTGTAGGGTTTTTTGATGGAGCCCTGTGCACACACCAAACTAGGGACTGGTCAGAGCAGGAGCTTACAGGAATATCCAGAGTTTAGACTGTTGGTTTCTTCAGTCCCTTCCACAGCCCTGCCTTACACAAGGAGACACAAGCTTCCCTTAACATGGAAATCAACAATCTCTAGTGCACCCTTACACTCAAAGCAAGCAGGATTTAATCCTTCATCTGAAAATATACCATACAAAATATAAATATATTTATGAGCCTCAGGAATTCACATTACTGCAGGGTTTAAAAAAGACAGAAAATCTGCTCGGGTTATTTTGCTATCTCCAGCTGGCCTGATGACTAAACAGAAATTCCACTCCAGCTTTATTGTTTCTGAATTCTTGAACTAAAGTCACCTCATGTTTCTCTGAAAAATGCCTTGCAGTAACTAAGGTTTCAATGACTCTGGGCCATCTGCCACTGCCTCCTTTTACAATACACTTTAATTGAAATTTTGGTAACATTCCCCCATGCAGAACTGTTGTAGAAATAAACTGGAGACTGGGCTGGCTCTTAACATCTTGAACAGACTGTTCTCTCCCTAAGTCCTAACTTAAAGAATTTTGATTTAAATGCAGTAATGCTTTGGTGGTATAGAATGTATGAATTACATTGTATGTCTTGTTTAGACCTTTTTGCAGGATTACCCTCCTCTTCCATTTCTAAAGCATGGCACAATGGAATTCTAAGGTGCCACCTGAACCTGTTTGACATCTTCTTTCCAATTAATACTTGTATTTATTTAATCACAGCAACTAATCAGGTTTTTCCTATCATTAACAGGAACAGAACTGCTTCTAAAACCCATAGTCTCTTCTCTTAGTTTTGTCCCTGAAAACAAGATCTGAATACTCTTGAGTCCCTAACTGAATTCCCTTTCAAGACAGAACTGATGATCCTGCTTATCATTTTTGCTACAGAAAACAGAACTCCCTTCTGATTCCACTTCTTCAGTACCCAAAGCCATCTAAACAAAAAATCTCAACACTCACATGCAACAAAAAAAAAACCCCCAAATCCCTCCCACCAAAAAAAAAAACCCCTTTTAACTCCTATCAATAGAGCTCTCCTAATCCATGCAGAAAGAAACTGAGGGAAAGATACATATTCAATTCATTGGTACTGTGTGCAGCAATAAGGATTTGCCATGAAGAGAGACCTTCTCTCTCTATTTTCCTTTCTAACACAAATTTTACAGCATATAAAATTCCAGCAGTTCAGCAATGGAACAACTCAGACCAGCCACTAGAAGAAAAGCAGCCAAACCCCCCCCTGACCAGCATCACAGCCTCAGTCTTGAGGGAACTGCTTAAATCCTTAACTCTTGCAAGTCATGAAAAGGAAAAAGATTAAATTAGCATATCTGTAGGGAGAATCCACCCAGTGGGAATGTGATTTCTTCCATCTGCAAAGATTCTTTTAGGCAGACTGTCAAAATGAATATTAAAATTTGGGTATGTTTTTTCTGGGGTAGCAGAATAATGTCGTGCTCTTCACTAATCTAGGTGCCTACTGATATAAAACAAGACTTGCAAAAGAAAATTGCCAGGGTCATATTGCTCATTAATATGAGCAATCCAGAAGACTTAATTTCTTTCCTCCAACTAGAATAAAAGGTATTTTCCCTCCCCTGAAATCCATGTGTCTCATTCTACGTGATCATTTTGATATAAGCAATTTTCAACTGCTGTCTGTTGCACAAATGCACCAGTTCCCCGAGAACAAAGGAAGATGATTAACACTAGCACAGATTTTTACCCTAATTCTTTAAGAATTCCTGCTTGTTACAGAATCCATTAGCTATACTGCCTTTCACTAAAAAGAATAAACCAAACTCCCTTTGAGGGTGAAATTATTAGCCACCTCTATTTTCTGCACTAGAACTGAACATCTACTTTTGTGTAAGAATATAATCTTGAATTGGATCTTTTTGTAATCAAGTAAGAGAACTGAGTGACAGGGCTGGATAAAGTAATTGGTAATTAAAACCCCAGACAAATCAAGACAACTCAAGTACATGCTTCGGGTTTTTTACAATGTGATGTAGAGATATCAGGAAAATGTTTTCACCCAGAGGGTGGCTGGGCACTGGAAAGAGCTCCCCAGGGAAGTGGTCACAGCACCAAACCTGACAGAGCTCAAGACGTGTTTGGACAGTGCTCTCAGCACATGGTGTGACTCTTGGGGTGTCCCATGCAGGGACAGGAGTTGGACTTGATGACCTTGATGGGCCCCTTCCAACACAGCTTATTCTCTGATTCTATGATAATTGTTTCCTCCCACTGTTACCACTTAAGGTCTCAGCACCAATGAGTACAGCCAGGTGTCAAAGAAGATTTAAAATCAAATTATAGGCTCAAAAATGATCAACTGAGTTTAAAACCACTGTATCAAAGTTCCAGAATTTCATAAATTGAAGACTGTCACTGTTATGATTTTTTGAACCTTATTTTCATTCTTGAGAATAACAATAAATCTGTGTATAAATAAAAAACGCAAAGAAAAAGTGAAAACCAATATTGGAGGCTACACAGCTGAACTGTGATAAAATTCACAATCTCAAACCCATTCACGTTCTGGCAGAATACCATTTCAGGGCTTTGCTCTGGAGGGTCTCCAGAGCAAAGAGCAATACTGGTTTAGCTGTGAAGCTTACAGGATGGTATGTTAACTTCAGAAGAGACAGACGTACATACTGCTTTACAACTGTTTGCTATCAGACTCGCCGTCTTCTTAAAAGTCTTCTCGAGGTAGTGAGCAAATCTCTCATTCTCGTTTTCCTTGGAACCCAGCTGGAGGAATTCACCTAAAAAGTTGCACAGAAGGGAGGTTTTATTTGTGGGTTTACTGCTTAGGCAAGCAAATTGGAAGATAAAAACAGGAAAAAACCTTACCACGCACCAGATCTTCAATCACCTGAGTTAGAACAGAGATGATAGTGGTATTTCCAATTCGTGCTAAAGCTACAGAAGCAGCTGAGAGGATGAAGTCGCCAGCTAGAACAGCCTAACAACAACAACAAAAAGGTGATCCCTTAAGTCTTCTCCTGTGTTACTACAGACCATAGAATTTCCTTTAATTGTCAGATCTACTCACATTACAAAACTTTCCCACATAAAGCACAGATATCTCATTTTAAGAGCGAAAAAACACATAACCAAATATTGAAATCTGAGTAATTTCTGAGTCCCTATCATATGGTACTGGTGATATTTCTCTGTATATGCACTGTCCCCCCTGTATGCAGTATGTGTTTGCTTATGAAGACTTTTTGAACATTAGTTCTCTATTTGACCATTCTCTTGTGGCTGTTACGCCATGTGAGCTCTGAATTACCCCAAGTTCCTTCCTTGTATTTTCTGGTTAAGACCTTTCTTGTAATGCTCTGTGAAGAAAACACCAATTTTAAAAAAAAATTCCCGCTGACTGAAAACATTTTTGTGCTCACCACTGAATCAGCATTCAGGATGAGGTACAAGTTAAAAGTATTTCAATGCCAAAATCAGTAATAATCAGCAATAATCACAAAAGGGGCCAGGTTGGAAGGGGCCAGAATCGTCTGGTCCAACCTCCCTGCTCAAGCAGGGTCATCCCAGAACACATGGCACAGGATTGCATTCAGATGATTCTTGAATCTCTCCAGTGAGGGAGACTCCAAAGCCTCTCTGGACAATTTGTTCACATTCAGATGGAACTTCCTGTGCATCAGTTTTTGTCCTCTGCCTCTTGTCCTATTACTTGAGAAGAGCCTGGATCCATCTTTGTGACACTGCTTTCAGATATGTACAACGAGGGCCCCTCTCAGTCATCTCTTCTGGAGGCTGGACAGGTGCAACACTAACACACTTCAACCATTCATTATCTAATGCTTCCAACAGTTCAGAAAAAGAAAACACATTTGTCTCACTCACAAACTGTGCACACCTCTTCATATGTTTTCTGACACATTCCAAGACCTAGCCATAGTAACATTACAAACCTCTAGGTATTTGTGCTCTGCTGAAATTCAAAGGCAAGCCTTGCACGTATTAGCAAACTCACTTTCCTCTCTCCCCAGATTTGATTAAGTGTCCTTTTTCCTCTGCGAGAATTTGCATCATCAATGACATCATCATGAACTAGACTGGCTGTATGGATCATCTCAGCAATTATGGCCACAGAGCGCTGGCTTGCTTGCACCTCCCTAAAATAAAAAACAAGAACTGTCAAATCATTAAATCAATTATATATGCTGCAGTACACTACAAAATTTCTATTAAAAACCAAACAAAAAATGTTCCTCTGAAAACAGCTGTCACAGCTTTTTCCTGGTCTGACCCCCTTCTTTCAAACCTGGAATTAGGAAGACAAGAGAAAGTAAGATCACATTAGTACAGTAAATGCAGAGGGATGAGTCCATCCTCATGAGGCCTATTTCTACATTGCTGCATTAACAGTACTGCAAAACTCCTGTGTTATTGACTTTAATCTCTCTAAATCCAGACTGCAATAAACAGCACAGCATCAAGGATGCTTGGCTCCAAGACTGAAGTCTGAAAAACAGCAGAGAAAAGAATGAAAAAGAATGACAGGTAGCTCTGTAGATGAGTTTTAAGTTTTCCTTATCTCTGTTGCTCTACCTACAAATACGGCATCACAAACTCTACAGCTGGATAACTCTAAGCAGCAAGCTGGAGAGATCAGAAGGAACAGAAACCTGCATTCCACATTTGAAAGACATAACTCATAGATCTTATCCTTGATGTTACCTGATTACCTTAAAACCCCAGAGGTTCTTCAGAAGCCTGAGGAATTAACTAGAATTCTACTGCAAGCACTTTAGGACTGTAAACACCAACTACCTAACACATATTGGAACTCAGCCTTTGGGAAGATCTAACACTGATGATTCAATTCTCAGTAGTTCACACTACTTTTTTTTTTTAAAGTAGGTGAAAAGAAGGTAAGGGAAGAACACAGAAGCAATTATCTAGAGAACAAAACTGGCAAAAAGCACATAAAAGAGCCAACCTAGCTCACACAAAGGACCATCTCCCTTAGTATCCAGCTTCCACTGTCTTCTGGTATTTTTCTGTTTTCATCATAGGTTACATGCAGGATGCCAGAAATGGCTATCCCAGTCAGTCCTGCCTCATAGGTGTAATAACTCCACATGGACATTTAAAATGCCCCACATACAAAACAGTAACACAAAGACCCCAAAACCCACAACACAAGAAAGAAACTACTTCTGATATATAAATAACTGTCTGTATACTTCTGGTATACAGAGAAGAGGGAAAAATTATACTATTTTACAGGAGAACAGAAAAAGAACTGAAACAGAAGATAATTTCACCTCATGTAAGGGAATTTAAAAGTTTCCTGCACTGCCTATGTCCTTTAAAATGTAGTGATTAACCACAAAATGAAAGAACATATTGCAGTCTGCTGACATAACACTGCATTCTGACACCTACCTCTATACAGAATTCTGCACTGCTGTCAGTGGGAGTTCTACATCCTGAACAATAGCAGGATGACTGGGGTAGCTCACAGGCTGTGAAAATATGGCTTTTACACAACAGAAAATAAGAGCTGGAAACCTTTATGGTTCTTTGGAGGCAAGTCTTAATGTGGACTAGTGATTTAATCAAATGCAAGTTCAGTATAAATAGTTTTCCAAAACAAATTACTCTTACTAAGTAGGAGAAAACTTACCTTCAAAAAACTGTAAAGGTCTCCAGCCTCTTTCATGCACTGTTCTCCTTTTGGGGATTCCCTTTTTCATTAATTATGTCAGCAGACTGGACTTCCTGCTGGGAAGCAGCAGTAAATGGCAACACTCACTGACACACTGAAATATTTCAGTAGTATGGAGACAGCATACAACCAGTTATTTCACAAGCAGGTTCTGAAAAGTTCTGCATTATACTCTATCTTATCTCTGACAATGACTAAAAATGGCATAGGAATGTTCCTGGTTTCCAGAATGTTGTATCAAATGTGACAATTTCATCTGAAGGGGTTTTAAAACTACGATTTCCACGAAGTCTCAAGCAAGGTTCTACCCAGTGCTGGCAAAAAAAGTTCTGGAATTGTTTCTTGCATGCATCTTGTGAGCCTAATTCTAGATCGGTGCATGCCTGCTTTTAGGGGAAAAGACACAAACCCCAGGATCCTTCTCATCCCCTGCCATTTTTCATTCAGCTTCTCCTGCAAAACAAAAGCAAAATGTGGCAGTAACTCAGGAGATAACAGCAAATCCAGTAAGTGGAAAGATGCCATTTTTAGTTCATTCTCAAAGTAAAGAGGCCCTGAGATGATGTATATTTACAGATATTTTATACAACTAATCATGTTCTGTTCTTCAATAGGACCCTCTGCTTGATTCAGTGATAAGGTTTTATAGATGTGCTGTACCCTGAGGTGTTTTCCATTACAGAACTTGTTTCATGAACACTGAACAAGCCAATGCTGACCATACAGGTTAAGAAACCCCAAATGTCTCCCTCCAAATATCCCTGTCCAAAATCAAAACAAACACAAAACAAACAACCAAAACCACCCAATGATGGTGAGGGCTGAACTCAAAACCACACAAACCAGTATTTACACTCTCCAACAAAAATCTTGGAGGCAATGTGTTTGCCAGTAAGTAAACACTGCCAGTTTAAGGACTGGAAATGAGCATAAGAACTTGCAACATTGTTGTGCTATGGCCACAGTCCTTCAAGCATCATTCTCCTGCTAAGGCCCTGGGGCTGAAAGAAGCAACCATCTCAGAAACAGAGTCTGTGACACAGAAGGGCACTGCAAAGTAGGGGAAGCACAGAGACTGCATGTGCTAACACCAGAGAAAACTGCAGAGCAGCTGGCACCACGGGCTTTTGACAACAACAGTTTGGAGGAGTGAAACAAAAGCCAACTAAGTTTGTTGGCAGGTTCTATCTTTAGGAAATATTCAATTATATTTTACTGTCATTTTATTTGTTTCTCACACTATTCTGATAAATTTATTTCCCTTCCCCACCCACCCCCCCCAAACTTTTGTGCTCACTGTTTTACCTATTATTGTTGTGTTTCTTTGGCCCTCTCTTATTTGCCTCTCTCTTTTTGGTTGTAGCAATAGAAATAAAAACTCTCCTTTGTGAACACTTTGGAGAATACAGAAACACTAGGTCCTATCAGGCTAAGGGATAATTCTGTGAAGCTCTTCACAGGCATGTGAAGAAATCTAGGCAGTGGATGTGTGAAATTGAGGGTTGCATGACCCCAACTTAAACTATTTACAACAATTCTTACTCCCACACAAAGCAAAGTTGCTATCAATAAGCAAAAAGCCACTGCCCAATGGACTTAAAGATTCAGGGTGGGACTTAAGACACTTAAAACTTCGAGAGCAAAGAAGCAACACACTTCAGTCACTTACCTTTTTGGCAGTAATTCAGATAATTCTTTATAAAACTGTCATTTTCCTTATTGTGACCACAATAAAGTGACCTCACTTGAGAAAAACAGTTAACCTGCAGAGGGTATAGTAAATACCTCACTTCATTCAAACCTAAACATAAATGATCAATGTCACCTAACCTGCAAGCAAAGCCACCTGGCCATTCCATTCTCCTGAGAAATCTCAGCTATTCTGGAGGAGAAGAGAAAGAGGTCTCTTGGGACTGCCTTGTAAAATCAGGACCTGTAGCCTTCCTAAATTGTTATTTTAACAGCCAAATAAGGAAAAGTATTACCTTTTATACAAAAATTGCAGAAAAGAAGAAAAGAAAATGAAAAAGCAGGCAAAAGCATGGTGGATCCAGCAAGTTATATTACAGTTGAGAATGGCAGCAAGATGAAGCAGAAACTGAAGATCAGCAATACAAACCCCAGAGGCAAAAGTAAAAAAAAAAAATGCTGGGGATGAACAGTACAGGATATTGGCTCACCCTACAAACCTACAGATACTGTGGCCAGTCTCTTCACATGTAGGAACCAAAGCCTCAACAAAGAAAAACAAGCCTGGGAGAAGAATCAGTATTAACTGAGGAAAAGAATGATAAAATGCTTGAAGGGAAATGACAAATTGAAAGTGGAAAAACATCTTAAAAAAACACTGGGAGAAGCAGAATGTAAGGCAAGTATTTTTCCCCCCCGGGTTTGTAGAAGAGTAGCAGAGTTAAAAATATGCAGTATTACTTCTCTACATACACAATTTTCCACACAAACATAAAATGGTTGGATGAACCATTTGCCACCTGGAGACAATGTTGCTTTAAGAAAGAACAATAATGAATCAATCAATGTGAACTGAAGTATATGTATACCCAGAGCTGGTGTAAGATAGCCAGCTTCAAGCAGCTTAAAAGCAAAAGAGAAGAAAACGCCCATAAAACTTTATCAGCTCACAGGAACTGGCTATCCACAGTACAAATGTAAATTCCTTTTGCATGGCCTTGCCAACCCTCAAAAGCATTGGTTACTATGCACCAGCCAACAAGCAGTACAGTGAAGACTTGTATCAACATAAGGGATATTTAATTACAATCACAGGCCTGGAAAAATTGGCACAGGGCACAGAACAGGAAGGTAAATACCCCGAGATTTCATTCCATTCCTTTGCTGAACACTTTTGTTCTTGCCACTCAGAATTTCATTCTAAAAGCAACATGACAAAGATGGTGACTCAGACTGGTTTGTACTAGGAACGTTCAGGTTATTGAGGAGGCCTTTGAAACAATGAACATATTTTGGAGGTGCTGATTAGAACCACAACAGATGTACAAACACTGCCAAATGACACAGGCATCTAGAAATCAGAGGATTTATGCTGAGGGCTGGCTACTGCAAAGCAAACACTCGCCCCAGGAATATGTGGTACCTCCTTAGTGGCATAGGGCAGGTCTTAAAACTGGTCCTGACAGTTTTGAGACAGCATAACATGTGGACAAGAATATGTCCATGAGCACATACAAATGTCAAAAGACAGCAAATATGCTTTGAGCATACAGGCAAATTCAGTCTTTCTACTGCTACCTCTCTTTGATTCACTGCTCTACTCCCACACTGTATGACATCAGTTCCAGCCTTCTCAGCACTGCACACATGATTTTGTTCATAAGCTTTTCATGCTACACACTAGAATGAGATAAAACTATTTTTACCATTATTTTGATTCCAAAGATGCCCCAAAAACTCACTGTCCCTGTTGTTAAATCTCCTCCAAAATTTCAATTCTCTTAGAAACATAATGCTTTGTTTTAAGTAGCTCTTTCACTCTGTTCCTGATAAATTTGTAGACCACAAGCCTTCAATCTTCATGATTATCCTTGCAATCCACCCCTGAAGCCAGCTGGACTTAACTCATTTTGAGCACAGGGATCAGGCACGCTGATGATTTCAGGAAGTGTGATGCACACTCCTGTAGCTGAACTGGATGGCTGCTGCATGCTAGGATATCTTTGAGGGTTTTCAGAACAAAGGTGGTTGCAAACCACACTGGGGTTATGCCCTAATGGGACACCTAAGACCCTACAAGCTCGAGCAGAAAGTTTTGGTTTGCTGTGCCTCCTTACATTTCACCACAGATGGATGATCATCAAGAATGACTCTGCCATCAAAAAGCGCCCTCCTCACGCTCCTGTTTTTTTCATGTCAAGGTCACTCATGAATACATTAAGACAGTCTGTGGCAAAAGGTATCCCTGAGGATTTGCACAACCAATATCGTTCCTTTTGCTATCTCAGAGTCAATGACAAGAAGCAGTCCTGAACTGACAACAGAATCTGGCTGAAGGAAAGTTCATTAATCCTGGATGATTTTTCCTAAAACAAGAGGAACTGGCACACAGAGGAAAGGATGCTGCCAGCTCGGTTTTGCCTTCTCCTTCATAATTATATTTTCATAGAAGGGGCTACAGGGGGAGGTGTTATCCGTGCAACAAAATACATGCCATGCTCTGAGGTACTAATCAAGTCCAACAAGGCATTAAACTAGTCCTACAAAGAGAAAACGATGCAAGAGCTCAGAGAAATCCTTTAAGACTGACAAATTAGTCTAGAAACACTTCTGGAAAGGGACCAAAGATTACCTACTTGAAATTCTATACAAGGCAAGACTGGAAGCATAGCTGGAAGGCAACTGGAGAACACTCCAGCCAACATCCTTCCTCAAAATGCAAACATAGCAGTTGACAGGAACGTGTGGAGTGAAGCATTTGCAGCAAGCCAGACTCAGGAGTGATAGAGAATACAGGCCAAGCATGATCTTCTGCCCAGTTAAAACTGCTTTCAAGTAACTTGGAGATCATAAGGATTACACCAGACTAATTAGCTTAGAATCTTACATAAAGCGTAGAAACTTGCTACTAGAGGGTGGGAAAAAAATACTCTTACTGTTTTCAAAATCTCACAGCTTTGAATGTAATCATAACACCTCTTTAATAGCTTTTCTGCACAATTACTAAAAAAATCTCATACCAAACTTATCACAGCAAACTTCTTACCTGTGACCGGAGTTTAATAAGAACAGGACTGGTTACAAATGAAAATACTTCATGAAGTCTATATAGTTTCAAAGAGTATTAAAGGTTCTAATAAAACATTTATGCAAGAAGGTAGAATTGACTAAAAGCTTTACAAATATATTAATTCAGCAACATTATTTATCCACCCTGCTTACAAGTGCAGTAGAGTCCACAATTTAATACATGGAAATATGTAATAAACCCAGCAGCTCCTTTTGCACTGACAACTACAAAAATACAGCTTCAAGATAGAACTTACATTCAGGTTTTACTGAGGAGCCTTTTATTTTCATAAAGTATTTTTCAGAGAGACAAGAATGACAACTTTCAAGCATGATGTGTGTATCTGAAAGTGACCAACTCACTTGGAATTATTATGGTGAATGTTGCAAGCCCGAGCCATTAGCACCACAATCATTGGTCGAAAGGCCTTTCCCTTCCCATCAAAGTAATAATCACACATTTCCTTAAGTTCTGCTGCAGAGACCAGCAATTCCTATAAAAAGGACAAGAGCATTTCAGCATGGAAGTCACAAAGTCAGTCTGTTTAGTGTAAGTAAACCAGTATGTATCTATATAGTTATTGCTTGCATTCATTCCATCCAGTGTAAGCTCAAGTTATGTTTAAAATTAGTATGAGTAATCTGAAATGTAAATGATGCATTTCAGCACTGCAAATCAGAAGAAAAAATTGCATTCTGGTTCTATAAAATATGAGAAATGCTCCATTTGCCTTCAGTTAGACAGCAGTTCTTAACATAAATAACATTACTTCAATAAATATCCATAAATGAATATATTTCAACAAATATCCAAACTGATGGCTGTTATTAAAAACAATCATCATGACATGCCACCATGGTCACCAAAATCCCTTACCTTTTTAATATCTTCATAGAGATTCTTCAAGTCTTTTCTACCAAGTTGAAAAGGGTCTTGGTATTTTTCATCACTAATTGTCTTACTGCAGCTGCACCAGTGGGATGTACTTGTATGATGAAACCTGGTGACAGTGTTTTTCAAGAGTAGTCTTGTTAGCAGTCAAGTTCCCCTGATTCCCCATATAGAAACATCTGAAAGGTTTTCTTTCTCTCCCTCTCCCCTCACACCCCATTTAAACAAATGGTTAAAATATATGAAGACATCAAAACTCTCTTTTTCAGATAGACAGTAAGGTGCAAGGACAGAAAAGCTGTGTATTGATGATCATAAATCATATTGGGACCTGGCAAAGTGCATCTGGCAAATACACATACACACTCTGCCCTTAACAGATCCCAGATCTTCTGAGACCCAGAACACCACCTTGCTCTCCGTCTATTCCTTTTGAATACTCCATGGATAGTGTAGCCTACATTTGGAGATAGAGCCCTCACTTCTGGAAACCCAACTGTTCTGTTACTTTCTTCCTTCTCAGGTAAACTCCTGAAAAAATATTCCTGACTTAGACTTGATATTTTTTTCTTTGTATACCCAGCAACATAATAAATTAAATCAATACTTCCAGGTAGCTAGGAAAGTTCATCAGAAAAGGGTGAAAGCTCCACCTGGATGCATTAAGATGCATTTAGCTTAGGAGATTTGTTTGTTTGTTTCCAGGATTTGAAGTTTCTTCTTCTTCTAATGTTTCCTTTCCCAAAGTGAACCGTATGTATTTTCTTGCAACATTCTTGCTTTGCCTGTTACTCTCCAGGATAGACAACTGAGATTCAAACTCAGCACTACAGCAGCAGTCTACACTGGAGTAAATAACCTTATCTTCAAAGTTTACAGCTCAGAGGTGTAACCCAGTTCACCCAATAACTATGTCCTTACCCACTACACAACAATGTGAATCTCCAACTTACCGCCAAAATATACTACATATTTTTGGAAAGGAGAAAGTTGAACTTCTTTGGGTAATGTGACACATCTGCATAAAATAAAACCAGGGACAGTTTATCAGAACTTTAAACTGCCAGAAAACATTTGACTACAAAAAAAACGTACTCATCATCATTGCTCTATTTCTCCATTTTAACCCAGCAGCAAAGGGAGTCTCATAACCCCTTGCACACCACGTGAGACACGAGTGCACACTTCACCAGGCACACTGAACTGACTCTTCCGCTCCACAGCCTTGGACTTTCTCCCCTCGCTGGCCCAGCCCAGGAGGCTTATCACTTAAATTACCAAAGCTGCTCCAATAAAACCTTGCTTTTGCACTTGAGCAAGATGCAATTTTCAAACATTCCCTGCCTGGTACCGATCAAAGCACAGAGAAAAGGACGAGCTGTTTCAGTACACTAACAGAAAATCATGTCCTTGTTTTCCCCGAAGCAATTTCAATTCTGCCTGCTGTTTATAATTTACACCTGCCCATCTTCCCTGCTAAATGTCCAGAACCTAACCTCCAAATCTCGCAATCTCTCCAAGGATCTCTCCCTGCAGGCAGAGCCCAGGAGCATGGGGGAAGGAAGGCACAGTCCCAGGTACAAGATTCCAGCAGATACAGGCTGAGGAAGGAAGTACAGCTTTTACTCTGCTCCTGGGAATGCTGCCAGGAAGTACCGAGCCCTGCCCAATGCTGGGCTGAGCCAGCCTAAAATCACTGCAATCCACGTGTTCACCAAACTGCCTCTGGAAAAACTCACACATAAATGCTCAAGGAGACCTGCTCCTGCTCCTCGTGCCTCAGCGTCTCCTCAGATGTGGATTAAAGTAAAGTCTCTCTCTCCTTGGACAGTGGGAGACAAACAAAAGCCCTGTAATGGCTCAAGGGCACTCCTCCATCCTCCGTGCTTACACAAGGCCATGCAAGGAGACAAGGCGAGAGCCCAAACTCATCACAGATATGCAATCATTGCTGTCTGACTTCAGTGTCCGGCCCTATGGCTGAGACATCCCAAGTCGCTCTCTCGGACCTCTCACCGCGTTCTGTTGCTAAAAATAGCTGATCCTTCAGCGCGGGCACACACGGACTCCCTCCCTTACACTGCCGCTTGACCCTGGAACAGCGGCTGCTGCGGGATGCTGGACACGTTCGCTAGAGCACCGTCCCTGGGCCAGGACAGCCGCAGCACCTCAGCGAGGCTCAGAACAGCAGCCTGGCCTTGTGAAGAAGCTCCAAACCAAAGGCAGCGAGTGAACTGCCGCCGTTGCCGCTCACAACGCTAACACACACAAACGCCTTCAAAATCTCACGTAATGAGAACCACATCCCCTGCTCCCACCTAGGGCCGGCTCCGAGAGGCTCAGACACTGACCAGTGCTGAAAACCCCTAATCCGGAATTTAACCTTGCACCGAGCGCGCTCCTGCCCCCAGCAAGGACCCCCCGGCAGAGAACCGCCCCCGGGCCGTGGCGCTTCCCGGGCGGAGGCTGCGGGACGCCGAAGGAGCGGCGGCCGCGGGTGCCCGCCCGGCCCGGCGCCCCCCGCCCCATTCATTCCGCTCCCGCCCGGCGCCGCCGCACTCACCGCCGCGCTGGGGGCCGGCGGGACGCGGGGGCAGGGGCTCGGCACGGAGCCCAGCAGCGGCGCCCGGCGGCACCAGGCGCCACTCCGCCACCACCACCGCAAGGCCATGGTGTCCCCCAGCCCCGCCGCGCCGGCACCGCCTCCCGGCACCGCCGCGACCCGGACGCGGAAGCCCCGCGCCGCCACCGCCCTCCGGCCCGGTGCCGGGCGGGCAGCCCAACGCCCTCTTTGGGGGCGGGAGACCTCAGGCTGGGTTCGTGGGTGACGCTGGAAGGCGAGGTCTGGGGACATGTGGTGGCGGCCCTGGCTGCCCGCCTGCCTGGCCTGGGGCTGTGTGGCCGCGCTGTGCGGCTCCCGCGGGCTCTGCCCGGCCCCGAACGCTTCCCGCTCTCAGCCGGGTCAGTGCCCGCGGCGCCGGGCGACGGAGCTCTGCGCCTGGGCCCTGTCTACCGACAGCCTCCTAGGTACGGCCTGCCCGGTCCCGGGCTCTGTCCTGCTGCCCTGCCCGGTCCTGGGGCGCTGTACTCCTGTCCTGCCCGGTCCTGGGGCGCTGTATTCCAGCCCTGCCCGGTCCTGGGGGTCTGTATTCCAGCCCTGCCCAGTCCCGGGGCTCTGTACTCCTGCCCTGCCCTGTCCCGGGGCTCTGTACTCCTGCCATGCTCGGCGATTTTGCTTGTTGAGTTGTAGCAGCTCCTGAAGCAGTAACTAAGAACTGATACACACAGTCAAATATAGTTTTAAAGTTAAAACTAGATTGGTCATAAGGAGCTTCCCCCCCCGGGTCCCAGTTATGTAGTAGTGCAGAGTTGATAACCTGACACATTTCTGGAAGTACACAAAGCATTCTAGCTCTCGGGCATACAAAACTGCTTGTAATCATAGAGCTAATTGATATGATAACATTACAGAACTAATTTCATCAGGTGATACAATTACTCGTGAGCATTGAGAAATAATCGTCAGTGATAAATAATGTGGCAGCTGGCTATAACAGGATCTGTCATTGGAGTTAGTGAGAAACATGGCTAGTAGCAAGGCTCCAGAGATGCTAACTAACTTAAAATTTTTGCAAAACAGTGTCTATGAGGTACTGGGATTTTATAATTAATATGGAATTGTAAGATTTTGCAAGAAAAGTTCATAAAGATGGTAAACCACACAGTTTTAAAACAATATTTGTCCTCTGTTACCATGGAAAAGGACACAGAGTAGGTCTGAAGGAAGAATGAAGCACAACTTCAGGGTACACATGTATGCTACAGCAGGAGCTACATCTTCTCACCCATTCCTTCATTGTTTACATTACTCAGAAAAGATTAATCTGTTTTCTTGGGTTGTGTGGTGATCATTGCTGCATATGGACTGTACACAGCAGTTACTGTGCACAGTGACTTAAATATGTTGCACTGCATTATTCAGCTGTGGGGAAAGCTGAACTTCCCTGTCTCCTGCAGATGTCTTTGAGGGTGTCTATAATTGAGTGCAACACCAAACTGCCCTGAGACTGTTCCAGTCACAGTCCATTCAATCTATTCTTAGATGTGGTTTAGATCTTAAAACTAGAATGTCCTGGTAGATTCTTTAACTGCGGAACTTTAACTCAATCCTTTTCAGAAATTTCAAACAATAAAATCCTAAATTTATTTGGGCTTGCTTTCCATGAAGGCTTAATATACATTGGTAAAGTTATAATATTACAAGTTTTAATTGTTTTTAAAGCATTTTGGCTGAATTTAAGAGGAAGCATATTAAGAATAATATGATTAATTGTTTTTTATACAGCATTTGTTGTCTGTTTCATGTTTACAGATCCTTTTCCAGTTGATGTGATCCAAGAAAATTATGTCCGTAATGTGAGAAACTGCATTTTTTCAATTGTCTATCCTACACCTTTTAAATCTAGAGTTCGTCTTGTAGCTGTTTCAAAGGTTGGTTATTGTTTTTTTTATTCCTCTCTAATTAGTAGAAATTATTAATATATGTACTATTTATATGCTATTTATCATGAAACATCTTCTCAATAAATAGTTTAAACAGAGCATTTAAAACATATTGTGAGATGTCTTTTAATGGTGAAATCTGTAGAGAAACATGTTCATTACCACTGACAATTTGATCATATTCAAATATTATTTTTTTTCTCCAGGATGTTCTTGAAAATATTTTGGATCTTGATATATCTGTCAAAGGATCATCTGATTTTCTGGAGTTTGTCAGTGGTGGGAAAGTGATATTTGGGTCTGTTCCACTGGCCCATAGGTATGGGGGTCATCAGGTAAGTATGGCACTCATTCTTCCAGGTGGAATTGTGTGGGTCTTTCCTTGTGAATTACACCTGGATGATACCTGTGAGTACATGAGTGAATGTCTGTGAGTACATGAATGCTTACTAACAGTTTGATTGCAGACTTGTTCTTCATAATGGGCTGCAGGTGGAGAAGAACTATAATATCCTTCCACAGTACCCTGTTTACTTGCTCTGCTTTTGTTTATGCCTGAAGCAAATTATCTTTTTAACTTTCATTAGCTGTTGAGTCTGCTTAGCACCCCAGCAGTCTGGCCAGCTATTAGTATCTAATACTAATAGCTCAGAGGAGTGGAGAAGGACAGAGCCTCACTGCAACATCATGATTACTAAGGTTCAAGTTCCATTGAAATGGCTATGATTATTCATGGAGAAGAATGCTAGAATTTCATTTGTAATTTCCAATAAAAAAAAACCAAAACTAGCCATGTGGGTTTAAAGGCTCATTATACAAAAAAGACAGGTCTGTAGCTGTATGTTGTAGCTGGAAGGTAAAAAAAAAAACCCACTGGTGTTACTGTGGTTTTCTGATTCATTTTTGGAGTGAGTATGGAAGTACAGCTTTAGGGTTCAACATTTTAATGTGAGCACATGTGTCTTTTGTGAGGACCTAGATTTATTCTGTATTGTTTCAAGTATAACTTCTATAAATGATAGAGAACAATAACTTGCTCTTAATTTTTGTCAGTTTGGTAGCTGGGCAGGCCAGCTGGGGGATGGAAGAGCCCACTTGATTGGAGTATATACAAACAGGTGTGACTTTTTTTTGAGTGTCTGATTGAACTCTGTGTTCAGTCTAGCTGATTCATGGTTAACCTGAGGTCTGTTGTTAGAAATGCCAATGGTATTTTTGCAGGCATGGTGAGAGGTGGGAACTGCAGTTAAAAGGCTCAGGAAAGACCCCCTACTCCAGGTAAGCTGCAGGTACTCTGTGTACTCTAAAACTGAATGCTTTCTTTTTGAAGTTTACTTTGATTTTATGACCTGTTCCTTATTTCTCTGTTCTCCATAGGAATGGTGATGGGAGAGCTGTGCTTCGCTCTTCTGTCCGAGAGTTTTTATGTAGTGAGGCCGTGCACCATCTTGGAATTCCTACAAGCAGAGCTGCTAGGTATTTTTCTTTCCTTTGTTCAGAGTATACTAATTTACAGGTATTTTTGTGACTGAATTTCACTGAACATCAATAAATCAGGGCAGTTAGTTTCCAAGATGAAAGATCTCTTCATATGAACATAATCAAAACAAATTATATTCTCCACAGATTTTTGGATAAAACTTTCCAATAATAATAAACTCCAGCAATTAATTGCATCACATAGTTTGCTGGATTCTAGAAATACAACTTAACTTCAGTGTAGTAAAGACTCATTTCTGTAAAGTCAATTCAAATTCTAGAATCTAGCCAACTAGGAAAATGTGAAAAGGGGTTACTTTTGTACTGCCATTTTTAAGATTGCTGGGGAGAATTGTCAGTCATATGAACAAATATTAATATTGGAGGTAGAACTGAATGTAGGCAATTACTCTCAATTCTTTATCTATGCAAACACCCCTTGAGCAGAGAGAGAGTTTGTAAAAAAAAATTTTAAATTAGTTCTGTGTGATCCAAAGGAGACTAACACACTCATTCATTTGGATGATTTTCTCAGAATCAAGTAACTGAAAATTTTCAGATGATCATGTTTGAAATACCAAGTTCATTTTGTGTTCCAAGTAGTCTGAAGTCTGTACTGCAATGTTTCAGGCTTTAAAGAAAGCAAATGTTCTGCAGAAAAGGCCTGTCCTCAGCTGCCACATGGCTAGGTGTCTGTATTTGCAAAGTGTCTGCAAATCTCTTTAGCATTAGTTCTAACTCATTTGCTCTGTTGAAGTGCAGTGTTTGTAAATGACATTTTTGATGGTTTATTCACTGACTTCATCTTGAGACTCTTTGCTGTTGGCTCTTAATGCAGAACTTTAAATCTGTCTGAATATCAGCAGGAAATCATTTGGCAGGTTAGAGCCTCTCTTTGCTGTCGTCTCAACAAATTGTTCAGTGCAAAACCAGTATGAAATTACCCCTTTACTGTGCACAAATTCTACTGAGCACACAGTGTGCTTTAGCTCTCTGCTGGCAGATTGGTTTAATGCCTGGCTCTCTTAACTGTTGTACAAGCTCTGCAGACTGTTTGCAAGACTTAATTTGGAAAAACCCCAGCTGACAGCCATATTCTTCCCAATGGGGAGCTGTTGTACTGGGGCTGGTGGGATGCACTTAACAGAGGTCTTGTCAAGTCTTGGCAGAAGTGGGAGGAAAAACCTTATGGCTTATCCCAGAACACTCAGCAGGTTAGTTTGCTCTATTAATTTTAAGTACTGTGTTCCCAATGGAGTGCTCCAGTTTATGACTATACTGCCAGATACAGAACACTTCATACAGTACCATTTTAGTCACAACTGAGACTACCAGTGAGCAGTGTTACCCATTAAGTCAAAAGAGTGAGCCAATATGCATCGTTTTCTGAGTGGCTTTAGTTGCACAGGGCTTGATGTTCATGCAGAACAGCAGGCAGAGCACTGGGAGTGTAAAGTCAAGCCCTTAAGTGAGACACAGGTAGGGAGGGATATCAGCCATCCATCCATCCATCCATCCATCCATCCATCCATCCATCCATCCATCCATCCATCCATCCATCCAATCCTTCTGTGAGTGCTGTTGCAGCTTCTTTGGTCTGAGAGCAGTTTCAGTGCTGTGTTTCCTATGGGTGAGTGTACAGCTGGTGTGCTGCTGCCTTCTCTCCAGTGATGGTACTTCCCAACTGCAGGGGCCATTGCAGAGTGGGAATGTGTGTCTATGTGGCTGCTCAGCTACCTGGCCAGCTCTCAAGTGTTGTACGTCTGTGCTAACTAAATGTTGAGGCCTCCATGGATTTTTTCTCTCCAGTAGAAGTGCTGGTATTCTGTAGGAATTTTGCAGAGAGCCTGCTAAGAGTTGCATAGTAAAAAG